ACCAGCAATCCTCTTGTGGTGCTGGCCACTGAGCTACCGTGCCACACATTTTTAGTTACTATACTCCCAAAATTATTCCACAAATATCTGCAGATTCTGTACAGCCCTGCCTAATGGCTTATCCTCTACATAACACAAGAAAATTTTGAGTGAACAAAAACATGCTGCCCAAATGCCACTCTGTTGGAATGATTGATTAGTGAATGGAGTGCTGAGGAATGATTTATTACAAACTTGAGTTGTGCAGTATATACGTCATTCATCCTTGGCCAAACATCTGTTCATCTCACAGCAGTTGTGAGCCTCTACTAATGTTTAAACCCTCTCAAATTGCTTAATTGTGCCTGTAATCCATTCATAATAAGCATTCTTTTAAGGTATGGGACTAATGTGGAAATCATGGTGTAAATGATGAAAATATTATAGTTTAGAGAAACCTAACTGTGGCTATAAAATGCTTCTCACCACTTTGTATTGTTTTTTTGTGGTATAATGTGCTGCCTAAAACAGTGTGTGCTTTACTCCCCAAGGCTGAATGATTTTAGCACCCACACTCGCACATATTTTTATTTAACCGAGCTTCTAGCTGCTGCAATGTTTGGATCCTCGTTTCCCTTGGATTATATTCAGTATGTTTTGTTTTAGCAGTAGATTAAAGTGTATTTTCTCTGTCACTAAATGTGTAGATCTATACGCCGTCCTTCCCTATTACCATTAATCTTAGTGTGAGCTCACACCCAGCGGGTTAGGTTTGATTAAAACGAACTGTGGTGCGATTTCTCTGTTAGTGTGGAAAATGTGTGAACGCTTCTGCGAACCAAACAAAGATGTGGGTCTCTATCCACTTCTAAATTAACTTGTGCGGTTTGACTAAAACAGACTCGCAACACGGACCAAAGATGAAAAGATGTGACCATGAAAACACAGAAAGCTTAAGCAAACCTGTTGTTTTAGTCATACTTGAGTTGTTGCCATTGACACTTCCACTACAGGGTTCTGAAACATATTTTTAAAAGGTTTGAAACTGTTTTCCTCACAGCAGATTGTGTGTGATGGAGGAATTCCTGGCACAGTTTTGACTTTCTAGCACATTTACGGGTTCTCATCTGATAAAAATAACATCAAATGTATGCACATAAAACGACCATATTTATCTCTCCACACAGGATTGTTTTGGACATTAGCTACATTTCTTGCAGTTTTTTTTCTCTCTCTATCTTTGTAGATGTATTAAAATGCTAATGTGACTGAAACATTGATGTTTTCAGGAGTTATGCTCACTCCGTTTGGGGAAACAACAAACCCACCTTAATGTGTGAACAAGTGAACTACCATTAAAGCATATACAATCACCAGCCACTTGATTAGGTACACTTCACTTGTAAGGTTGGACTCTCTTTTGCTTTCAGAACTGCCTTAATCCTTCGTGGTAAAGATTCTACAAGGTACTGGAAATATTCCTTAGAGATTTTGGTCCATATTGACATAATAGCATCATGAGGTTCCTGCAAATTTGTCAGCTGCACATCCATGATGCGAATCTCCTGTTCCACCACATCTCAAAGGTGCTCTATTGGATTGAGCTCTAGTGACTGTGGAGGCCGTTGAAGTACAGTGAACTCATTGTCATGTTCAAGAAACCAGGCTGATTTGCACTTTATGACGTAGCCCATTTTCCTGCTTGAAGTAGCCGTCAAAAGATGGGTACACTGTGGTCATAAAGGGATGAAGAGGGTCAGCAACAATACTTAGGGAGCCTGTGGCGATGATACAATGCTCAGTTGGTAATACTGGGCCCAAAGTACGCCAAGAAAATATCCCTCATACCATTACGCCCCTACCATCAGCCTGAACCGTTGATACAAGGCAGAATGGATTCTTGCTTTAATGGTGTTGATGCCAAATTCTGACCCTACCATTCGAATGTGGCAGCAGAAATGATACATTTCTGCAGATTCATCTGACCAGGCAACGTTATTCCAATCTTCTATTGTTCATTTTTTTGTGAGTCTGTACGAATTGTAGCCTCAGATTCCTGTTCTTAGTTGACAGGAGTGGCACCCAGTGTGGTCTTCTGCTGCTGTAGCCCATCTGCCTCAAATTTGGACAGGTTATGCATTTAGAGATGCTCTTCTGCATATCTCTGTTGTAACAAGTGGTTATTTGAGTTACTGTTGGCCATTCTCCTCTGACCTCTAGCATCAATAAGGCATTTGCATCCCTTGAACTGCAGCTCACTGGATAGTCCATTCTCTGTAAACCCTAGAAATTGCTGTGCATGAAAATCCCTGTAAATCAGCAGTTTCTGAAATACTCTGACCAGCCTGTCTAGCACCAACAACCATGCCATGTTCAAAGTTACTTAAATCACTTTTCTTCCCCATTTTGATGCTCAGTTTGAACTGCAGCAGATCGTCTTGGCCATTTCTACATGCCTAAATGCACTGAGTTACTGCCATGTGATTGGCTGATTAGAAATTTGCATTAACAAGCAGTTTGAAAGATGTACCTAATAAAGTGACCGGGGAGTGTTATGCAGTATATTTGAACTTTGCTGCTTGTTTCGCTAGGTCAATATTCACCACATACAGAAGTGCATGTGTGTATTTTTTAAATAAAGAGCTTGTTCTGAAAACCTGGTTCTGATCCAGGTTGATTTTGGGCATTAATTCCCTCATGGCTTTGGAAGAGCAGACGTTCATGGCCTTTCAAAGCCATTTGTTCCAAATACATCCTGTAGTGTGCCATGATGATTTCTTATTCTGTTGTGTTTGGAGCAGTAGAGCGATTTATCATACCTTGAGTTTCATGGCCGATATCGAATTTCGACTAGCATTAGCAACAGACAGAGATTTGGCACGTACTTAAAGTAATAGTTCACATCCACCCAGTTCTGTCATTTACTCACCATTATGATACTGCAAAGTTGTATGATTTAGCTTTTCAGTGACTCAAAATATGTTTTGTGTTTTAGCATTATTCCTAAAATCAAACAATGCATCCAAGCCAATGTTGATACTAATCGTTCATATGTCCAAGACTGTGATAAAAGGTAAAAATCCAGTTTGCAATTACATTTGTATTGAAAATACATTATTTTGTGTGTTTTTTTTCACCAAATCAGTGACATCATTTGTGAACTTGACTATTAAAGAGTTAAAATCCAGTCATTTTCTAAACAATTTAGAAGTTTTGATCAAGACTGAGGCTGATAAAAAAATTCATGCAAAACATTTTGAAAGAAATATTTATTTTTATTGCAGATTAATTCAGTTGATGTTTTTATCTCTAACATAACAAAATGGTAGTAAATTTGAACAGTGCACAAGAGTTAATAAAGACGAAATATACATAGCAATCATTATCTATTTTTTATCTACAAATCTATTACATGTACTGTATAATAATATCTGTTTTTAAAATGCTTAAAGTTTAAATATAGTACGCATTAAAAAGAAAGAATAAATGCAAAAAATATCAGTATATTAAAAATATTCCCCACCTCTCTTTTATTGTTTGTCTCTCATTCTCTATTTAGCCACAACATTAATGCATGCAGTGGTAAATAAAGAGATGCGTTTTAATTGTGTTGTTGTCCTCCGAGTCTAAGATCCATTGAAACACTGTGTCTAATCTCATATTCACAGAGTTATTGGCCCTTCCAGATAAAGCCCAAGAGAACAACCTAGACACTGATGAACTGCTGTTTGAAGGTCTGAACACATTGCTGTCGTTAAGACCACGAACAATGGCTTTCCATGCGGACTATTATCAGCAGAGGTGAGATGTTGAAAGCCGTGCCATTGGGAAATGGAGAACAAATGTTATTGTGTGTTAATTTGCCAGAGAATAAATATTGAATGGATTCCATTGTCAAATGTAAATATGTACATTAATACGCAAACAATGGGATAATTACACAAACACACAGGAATACAAGTAAAGAAAACAAAAGCAAAACACAAAAAGGGTTCCTTTCAAACGTAGAGTCATTCATCGCTGTTATATACAGTGGCACAAATCAACTCTGTTGAAGAAAATTGTCATTCTAATTGTAGTTTAGTGGAAATGACTGAAGATTTCAGCCAGACTTTCAATTTATTCTGAAGGTCTGTCTGCACAGTCTTTTCCCCCCCGGCACATGCACTGTCATTATTTGTTTAGTGAACTTCTTTGTTTGATACCTGAAACAAGGTTCTGCACTGACAGTGTGACAGCAGAATGTGCATTTGTCTGCCTTTTCTATTCTGAATTCACTTTCCATCCTCGTCGTTCTGAAGATAAAATGCCTGATGTTAAAATTCATGAAGAACATCTTTGAACCATACGCAATCTTAGAGTGCAATACCTTAAAGGGGTAGTTCATCTAAATAAAATGGAAAGAATCTTTTGGCCATCCTCATGTCATTCTAAACCTGTATGACTTATTTTCTTCTACAAACACAAACAATCCATTTGGAAGAATTGAGAACCTCTTAGTAAGCATAGAGACAGTTTTTCTAAATATCTTTTGAGAGACAGAAAGTCATACAGGTTTGAAACTACATGAGGGTGAATTAATAAAACCGTAATGTTCCTTTTTAGGGGAAACTTATCCCTCATACATATAATCTCACATTTGAATCCATATTCCATATATTCCATATATTCATTTCAGCGCTCACTTACAATAAATATTTTACCTATTAGCAGTGCATCACCCCTAGCGTCTGCTTAACAGCTGCAAGCCCATCGCATGCCCCATTCGATCTCAATAACACACTCACACATTACGCATGTCTCCATGAGCGCTGGTTTCCTTTTTTTTCCAGGATGTGTCATTCCAGAGTGATAATGAAAAGTGTTTCACTAGCATTTCAGAACATCCTCTAAATGACAACCGCACACCAACTGCTGAATCTCCCCAATGGAATTCCAACATGTTCCCGGCTAGTTTGACTTTCACTTTAAATTTAATCTAAAAAGCAATTCTCACTGTTTACATGAAAATTAGCACCTACCATTCAAACGTCCCACAAAGTCTCCCGAGGATTAAAGCGATGTAATCCAGACCTCCAGTCGCTATTGCAATAAACTCTCGGGTCTCTCACACACATGCGGTCCTCTTCTCAATCACTCTCTGTAATGCGCTCGCCCTCTCGCTCTCTCTCTTTGGCTCTCTTTAACTTGCCCTTTCTCTCTCTAACACACTGTCTCTCTCTCTCTCATCTGAGCATTGTGCAGAGCTCTGTGAAAACAGAATGAGGGGGAGAGCAAAGCGCTTGCTGAATTCAGTATTCACCCCTGCAGTGTCAAGGGGACAGAAAACGAGAGAGAGAGAGAGAGAGATAGAGAGAGAGAGTCTGGCTGCTCATGTGTGCTCAGGACGGATGCTCTCAGTGCTGGGTGCCTGTGGGTGTCAGTGGCTGCTCGTCTGCCGTTACATCCCTCCCAGAGATTGGCTCTCCTCCCCCTTTAAATTGCCGGATTAATGCGGGTCCCACCACTGCTAAACATAGTCAGTGTAGTCAGCTTTGCCGTGTTACCCTTAGGGGATCTAGAGCTTTTCAGTGAGCAAGCCGGCAGATTTTTGTCACATTCACTTGTTTGCTCATGGACATTGAATTTAGCGATATTCTCAAAATCCTAAAAATGGATTGTCGCTGATATACTTTTATTAATGCATATAGCTTATTTTGAATAGAAACACACTCTGTTATTATCAATAACTTTTGATGTATGAATCCCTTGGATGTGGATTGACCCAGTTTAGGAGACTTTTGAAGTCTTCATTGGAGTGAGTAAGGTGTAGGTGAAAAGTTTAGAGTTTGTGTGCAAGGAAGTGCACATATGATAGCATTTTATAAATAATCCCTGTACACACAGATCCATTCTCTCAGAAATAAAGGTACGAGAGCTGTCACTCTGGGGTGTTACCTTTTCAAAAGGTAAAAATTTGTACTTGAAGTGTCCATATTGGTACCTCAGAAGTATATATTAGTACCTACAAATTTTAAGAGGAACACTTTTACTTTTTATGTACCAATATGAACCAGTGGGATGTTAATTTGGACCTTTTAGGTACCCCAGAGACAGCTCGTATACCTTTATTTCTGAGAGTGCACATAAACTACTTATAATGTTTTATTTTCAACCCAGGCCCATTCTGATTATAGACCGCTATATACATTTCTGCAGAGAGCAAAATACTTCCCAGGACCTATATTTTTTCTTGAAGTTTTTGTTTTCGCAAATCGGCCCTAGGCCGCTGTGTACGCTTTTTGAGATCTCAGATATCTCTCGTGAGTGACATTTGTGCCTGCTCTTAAGCCCACCAGCTGTTGACTTACTCACTGACTGACTGATCAACCGATCTCCCACCCTCCCCTAAACCCAACCAATAGTATTTTGAAAAGCACCTATTGACCCACCCACCCACTTCATTAAACCGAATAGTAGTGTTTTGAAAAGCATTCCAGAAAAAGAAAAGCCATCGCCTTTTTTTTTTTATTTTTACCATGTTTTCAGATTTTACCACATTCTCGTCTTGTAATTTACTTGTTTAATTTCAAGAGTTCCCACTTAGACATGCTTGGCATTTATAGCAGGTTTGGCATGCTGTCCCGGGAGAGAACCCTGAGCTCGGAGATATTTGAGCCTAGGGATCCCGCCCGGTTAAGAAGCATATCAAGAGATCCGAGATCAGGTAGGTCTCGATCGCTCCCCCTTTTGAAGGGGAGAAAAAGGAGGAGGTGGGGTGGAAGGGGGGATTCTTCCAAAACGAGATAGAGCAATAAGGAGAAAGTGATCCATTTATATTAAGCTAGGATCATCCTGATTGGATTATTACTGATTACGAATGAGTGGCCAGCGGTGCACAATCATATCACGTACTCCTCGAAATTAGTTTATGAAACTTCACTTATTTTTTTGGCTCTTGTTTTTGTCATACCTGCTGTCTGGAACTGTTCTTCATTGGACTAGAAGCCTGTCATTGCGGTCAACTGCGCTCTGCATCTCAAGTCTGCTGATTTACGTGTCAAGCTATCGGACAAAACTGGTAAAGAGTGGAAAAGCTGTCCACATGCAGGTTAGCGGTTAGCTGATTAGAGAAAAGAGGAACAGCGTCATACCGTTCAGCTCTGCCTACATCATTTGTGATCTCCAGAAACGTATTTATGGCTACGTTTTCAGAATAAGCCTATGTTGTTTATTTTGCATGCAAACCTAGTATAGGACTTTTTAAAGAAACACTACTTGTAGTCTGTCATTGGGATTGTTAGGTACTTGCATGGTACCTTCATAAACGTGTAAAAGTTTTTGGCCAAAATGCATAAAAAGTTTATTGAAATTAATACTATATTTTGAGATCAGTTTTTCTGCTTATTTCCACAAAGCTATTGGCTGAATCGACTAATATGTGTTGTCCAGAAAGCGTTACAAATTTCCTACCTGATCAGTAATTTGCTTGTTTAATATAGTGGTATACGATAAATTTGTGATGGTACAGGGAAAAAAAAAAAAACTGTGTGTTTATATGCGTCACATCAAAATGCCAAAACCAAGCAGTTTAAACTGTCCACAATTAGATAATCGTGAACTGTGTTTACATGGAATAAATAATTAATAAATTAAATAAATTAAATAATTTGCCTTAATCTAAATAAGACAAAAGTATGATTAAGGTGTTTACATGAGTTGCTTTTTCAATGTTCCTTTCATAATCCCGTTTTACATTTTATAATTCGATTAACGTCATTGCATCATCACGCTATCCACGTTTCCTCTGGAGATTCATGTACTTTCGTTTTTTTTTTAATGTTTTTTTAATTTGTCGACTTTAACTGCAGTTTAGTACTTTCACTTTCATTCAGGAACTTTTCATGCATGACCTCCGTGACAAACGAGATATTGGATGCGAGTATGAACTGCTAGAAGAATCCTGTTCAAATCGAATTTGATATCGCACGCGTAGGGGGAAAGAAACTCTGCATTTCGAAATGCTGGTGTCTGGGGTCCTTTAGTTACTCGGTAGGTGCTAAGAATAATGTCAAACTGCCGTTTGTGTATGGACTATCCTGTTACAAATCGTGGCGAAAATCCTATACGACAGTATCATTTGATTGCAGTGTTATATGTCTCTACTGCACTTTAATAATGCAACTCCACACGTCTTAATTTGATTTCTGTTTAGTTTGATTATGACTTTAGTTGGATTAAAGTAATCAAAAATCATGATTAAATCAAAGTCTACTGTTTACATGGTAGATTCTTTATCAAAGTATTGTCTTAATCGTATTGAAATCAGATTATTGGTGTACATTGTAAACATACTCATTGTTCATGCATGTTTGACGTACACAAAGAGTGATACTCTGTTTCAATTGCTCCACATTAATATAATAACATTGTTTTAATGACATATTTAGAATTGTATAAATAGTTAATATTGAATTATTGATATCAACATGCAATACATGTTGCGTTTTACAAAACCAATTTGTGTAGGGACAACATGAAGGAATTAGGTTAACTTTTTTTTTACAAATTCAAGTGGATTAAACACAATTCATTTGTCCTAAAGAAATCTCAAGGATTGTGTTGTTTCAGCTCCTTTTAAATAAATAGTTTGAGCAAACAGCAAGCATAGTTTCTTGAGTGTACATATTTATATTTTCTATCCAAATTTTCTGATAAATCCTAGAAAATGAACAGATTCTTTCGATGCTTCAAACTATTAATTAAATCGATAAACAAAAATTAAGATATTTCATTTGCTTTGAATATTTAGTACATTTAACACAACATCTTAAGCATCACATTCATTAGTGAACAGCCCTGCAGCATTTTCTCAAGTCGCATATTATAAAACATGTTAATGTCCGTTTTAGCTTCTCACATTAGGGATTTACAGTGTTTTATTTATATGCACGGTCCATATCTCACAGTACTCAACCACAGAAGACACATTCAGCTTGAGCAAGCAAACATAAAAAGAAGTGGTTGAGGTGAACGCAAATTAATGCTCAGTGTGTAAACAGCAAAATGGGCTTTAAAGCCATCTTTGCTTAATGGAGTAAAAGTGTGCTGACTCTGGGTGGTTTACATCAAGACAGAACACAACATGCACACATGCAAAATTGCTAAATACCTCTACCTACAACCTAGTAAGCAGTTAAACAAGCCACCATTATCTTCAGTAATTGGACCATTAAGTGAGACTCTAATCCCAGTCTGGCTTTCCATTTACTTACAACCTACGTATGCAAAGCCATCGAGCATGCTAATAGTGTGGCTGAAGCGCACGGAGTGTGGTTATTTGTGTTTCTGGGTTTCCTCATCACAAACACTTTACCTTAATTTACTGGCGGTCAGGCATTGGCGTGAATCCCCGAGTCTGATCATCCTCTGAGCAGATGGCATGGCAAGCTTCCATCCTGAGTTAGACTAAGAGATAATCCTCCCAGCACATGGTGGGCTTTAACAGAGAGACTTTTTTTTGGAGTGAGGGGAGTCCAAGTGTGGGGGTGGAGAATCTCTAAAGTCCTGCAAGCTTTAGTAGGCCAAACTATCAAGGTGTTGAGATCAACCAGGCCTCCAGGTGTGAGTCAAGCTTCTGCTGGATACGGTCTGTGATCTCTTAACTACTCACACACATATCGAAAGAGACAGATGTGAACATATATGCCTGTTTACACCTGTAATCCATGCGGCTTCAGTGGGTTAATGAATGTCTACTGAAGCATCGATGGGATTTTGTATGAAGGATTTCCATATTTAAAATAAACTTTTATCATTGGTTTCGGGCAACTGCAGTTTCACAGGAGAGTTGAAACATTATGTATGATGTAGAATGTAGGCATAGCAGATGGAAATGGAGCCATCACTTCACTTTAGGAAGCATTCTTTTACGCACTGAAGTTGTTTGGGTTATTCTATGATGGATGGATGTGGTTTTTGAGCTTGAAAACCTGAAAGGTTTTTATTGGAGATATACACTCACTGGCCACTCATTAATGCAAATTTCTAATCAGCCAATCACACGGCAGCAACTCAGTGCGTGGATCTGGATATTTAACTGGTTCCTTGAAAATGACAATGAGTTCACCGTACTCAAATGGCCTCCTCAGTCACCAGAGCTCAATTCAATAGAGCACCTTTGGGATGTGGTGGAAGATTTGTTTTTATAACTTTAAATGTTGTGCAACAGTTTTAAGAAGGAAAAAAAAACATACTGTATTTTATTAATCAAATATTATTTTTTGTGCAGCTGTTTATTTGTAAACAAGGAGGGAAACCCCTGTGTTTAAATTATATTTTGCTCAAATGTTAAATAAAGTTTTAATAAAGGCTTTAACTCTCAAGTAACCATTCATGGGAAAATACCAGATATATATC